TATTTTAGAGGAATGATTGTGGATTTATTGGGGGTCTGGGAAGATATCCAGGTCCAGTATGTCTGGATCTGACATTACCTCCTGTACATGAATGCTGGGTTTGTGTTGGTCCTTGTGCTGTGGCTTAGCCTGGATGGTGGTGAGAGTCATGCAATGCCTCTCCCCTCCCGTCGTAATGTGGCTGTGTCCCTGCTTGCACTCTTCAGGCAGCTCTACTCTTGAACAAAAGATGAAATTATGACTGCTCTCCTTGTCATTTTGTATAGGGCCAAGGGCTTCCAGCACCAAAGGATGACCAATGGGGCAATGAATGTTGAGATTGGAAACCCTGCTTACAAGATCTATGAGGGCGAGCCTGATGACGATGCTGGGGAGCTGCTCGATGCAGACTTCACTCTGGACCCAGACAAGGTAGAGAAAAATATAGACGTGTGCAAAACTTCAGTCACTCTTCATTTCTTTATAGTGTTCTTGCAAGTTCCCAGACTATTATAATGCAGTTTTTATTTTAAAAAAAATGTCCTGAGTATTAGTTCTCCAGGCTTCGCTACTTTTTGACCTATTTTCAGTCCAGTCCTTGTACCTGACTATTTTCAGAGGGATGCTTTCTTGTTTGTTAAGCCACTTAACGCCAACCTATTAATCATTGAAGGGTTTAAAAAAGGTGCCTAACTCAAGTGATGAAGCAGTTTTCTGTTTACACATAACAAGCAACTTAGCAAAGAACCAGTTTTATCTTTAGGCACTTTGTTATTTGCAGACTGTTGCAAAAATCATCATCAGACAGCACAGACAAGCTTAAAATAGTATTGTTGCACCAACAAAGCGATTCCCAAAAAGGCTATTAGCCCCAAAAAATTGGCATCTCTCAGCATGGTGTGCAGTGTGTCCTTAAAAACACTTGATGAACAGCAGGTCATGGAAGGTCATGTAATTAAGAAACAAGAAAGGTTTAGCAAAGACCTGACACAGGACCTGAGAGATGCAGGTGAAGCGATTAATCCAAATTTTCAGTTTTTGATTTAAATTGTCATCAGTGTGTATGGAAGCGAGCTTTGAATGTCCTACAAGAAGAAGAAGCTTGCCTACGAGAGTTCAGGGTATGTTGAAGAATAAAGCTGGTTATACTGCATTTCCATGTATGTTTGCACAATAAATCCAGCATCTATTCCACATTTATCTTGCAAAATATAAAAAAAATTGGAATGGCTGAAGACTTTTGCACAGCACTGTATATTCGTGATGCTAAACTTCAGTGTTTTAAACATGATGTGATGGATCATTTTTCTTCCTTCCAGCCCACTAACTTCACCAACCCAGTTTATGCCACTCTGTATATGGGAGCTCACAACAGCCGCAACTCTCTGGCCAGCACAGATGAGAAGAAGGAGTTGCTATCCCGTGGAGATGAGGAGCCCCTTGTGGACCCACTGGCATAGACCTTGGTCCCAGATCACGCTATTCCAAACACCCCCCCATTCTTGCCTTTTAAAGAAAAATTGAACAAAAAAAATCAATAAAAAGTGTGAGAGAAAATTGATAAACCATGTGAACACTGTATAAAATGTACAAAAATGAAGGACTACTTTTGTATGTGATTGCAGTATTATATTTTGTTCTTTTGAGATTCCTCTGGTCAAAAACAAATAACATTTTCTATGAGAGATTTTTAATTTCCACTTCGTCCCTTACCCTTTACCTAAATAGCCACTACCTCTGTGCAAAATGAAATGGAAACATGGAAATCATAAGAAAAAAAAAAGAAATGCTATCATTGGAGCAATTTTAATTTTTTATTTTTGTATGAATTGTATAGAAAAGACAAAAACATTGTTCCATTTCACCAGTGCCAACTGTCTGTTGTTTGTGTCGACTTTGAGCGGGAAAAGGCAAAAACTCAAAGTTTTCGAAATCGGTACATTTGTCATCTTGCCGAGCTTCTTGGCAAGAATGTGTGAGACAGATTTGTGATAGCACCGTTTGTGTATAGCACATGTAAAATGTCAATACCAGATGGCAACTACAGTATTTCCACTTTTTTTTTTTTTTCTCAGAGAACAATGTTGATAAAATGATTGTGTTGTCTTCCTTGCACAGAATATCACATTTTACGGTATAGTGTATACTGTAGGCTTTATACCTTAAGATGTAAAGAAAATGTGTTTGTTTTTATCACTTTGTGTAACAGCTGGAGCTGATGTGTTGCTGTGGAGAAAGGATAAAGCTTGTTGGTGCGAGATTGTGCAGTTATATGAAGAACGTGGAAGGTGGTTATGGGTTAAACATTCCAGGCAGAGTGATGGATGGAGATTACGGATGTAAAGCAATAGATGGGGTGAATACTTTAATGGGTGGGTAGCTGGCTGTGTGAAAACAGCTGGCTAACAATGGCGGGGGATTTTTTGATAGAAGACTTATAGATAGTGTCATGTTTGCACTATTTAGCGTCTGTTTTCTGGTCTTCCTGTAGAGGCTGCAATTATGGTCAAATGTAAGGAAGGAAAGATTTCTTTTCTATGTGTGTTCTGCTTCTCCAGTCCTGGTTTTTGTTCTGTAAAGACCAGGTAGCATCCATCTGGCTTTGTGAGTAAATTTGCCTTCAGAGGATCAAAGTCTGTATGTTCACAGTTGTGTAATGACTCTGTCTTAAGTGCATTATTTTCATTTGATCCTTAGCGTTTCTCTGTTTTCTTTCTTCAGCCCTTCCCCATCTCTTCTCTGTGCCCTGCTGCTGCTAATGCTACCATTCTGGTTTCTCTGACACGTCCTTACGCTCAGCCTCTGTCCCAAAATGCTGCTTCTGTCAGAAATGTGTCAGCCATATCTTAATGCATGTGAAAAGTAACACAAGTCTTCAGTGTAACTACAATAACAAGTTTTTATTTTGCTTACCTGTCAAGCCAGTGTTATTTTATGCCGTCGTGTATGTTTTGTCTTTAATTGAGAGAGAAGTACAATCATTTTACCGAAAGGACATTTTTGCTAAATCATATGTGCATTTCCAGACTTTTTTGTTTTGATTAGTCCTTGGTTTTTTAAAATGAAAAATGACACATAGCTTTTATAGTACACAATGCATGGAGGCGCAGACTTTCTTCTGAAAAGAGAATAATGTTTAATTTTTGCTGGAGTACTTTACAAACTAAATAACAGATATTGTTATAAATAAAATTTTAAAAATTGTACAGAAAACAAGCCACAGTGTTCTGTGTTTTGTTCACAATCGGTCCTGATAAAAGGAGGAATTCAGTGTGGAGGGTTTAATCATTTATTAGGCAAACAGAAAGTCAGACCATCAGCACTGTAGACCTGAGATTAACTACATTTTATATTGTTACATGATAAAAACTTAGACAATCAACAAAAAAAATCATCACTTAGTATTTGAAGATAATATATGTGGCTAATGAAAGAAGTCAATTCTAACCTTTACTGATCAGATGAAACATTAACACAGAAAAGAGCAAAACAGAGTATTTGAATTTCAGTGTCTGTTTAAAGAGTCATCTTTAAACATTTTTAATCCAGCTGCACTTTGTATTAAGAACGTCACTCAATGCCTTTTGCCTTTAACTCCTCTTTGACTCTGCTCAGGTACTCAGGGTCAGGATACCCAAAGCTGTGGAAACAGAACATATCCGAGGTTAACATGTAGTATTTTATTAGAGAAAACAGTAAAAGAAAACATTTACCGAAACACAAGTAAGAAACCTGGCTACTCTACCTTTCTGCTCCTCCTGACATGGATGTTTTGTGGTGAATGTCATTCCAGGTCACCTGGCCGTCCAGTCCAGTTGTTCTGGATGTCCCAACAGTAAAAATGAGCCTCTGATCAAACGCTTTTTTCAGCAGTCGCAGCACTTCATTGCCCTCTTTGTTGTCTGGAAGATATGCTGTTCTATGAATACCATAGAGGTGCTGTCCAGGATTGGGATGCTTTGCCTTAAAAGCAGAATGGAAAGTAAATAATTTTATCTTTTTTTTTTGTTGTTGTTAAAACTTCAAATGAAAACACAATCATGTTTTGTTTTTTTAAACAGGGACATAAGCATTCAAATAAAATTGTCATTTACCGTCTGTGTTCCACTTTGAATCTCATAGCTGATCTTTATGGTGCCACAGTCTGAGTATCCAGGGAGGGGAAATGTGAGTATCTGGTGTGACATTCTTCCATCTGGTTGGTCTCCTATTATCTTACCAAAGACAACTCTGCATATAGGACAGATGGGCCCATTCGCCGCCTCTGCTTGTTTCAGACAGTCTTTACAAAATTCATGTTTACAGTTGAGCTGTCTCTTGTTTTGGAATTTATCCAAACATATAGGACACCTTTCATCACTTTGGTCACCTGCTCTTTTCCCACTGTCAGTTGGTGGGTCAATGTTGTGCTTCCTGTTTGCTGATTGGCCATTCAACACAGGCTCATTGGAGGCCCCCTCTGATTGAGAAATGAGTGTGCCACTGAACCCAGTGGCACCATGGAACTGGGATGAACTCATGAGGTATGAAACAAACCTCTGGTGTAGACAGAGAAGTGCTCTGAGGGCGTGGCTCTCCATGGAGGCATTTCCTTCTTTCTTGTAGAAAGCTTTGACATTAACTTTGCCTTGATCAATGTCTGAATCTTTGAATGCTACGTTAAACTTAGCTTTGATCTTTTCTATTTCCTTGTTATAAGAGTTAGTCATTAACTTCCAAAATGTCTTCTCAATGATCAGTCCTGCATGCGGGAAATCATCTTTGATGGTCATGTCAATCTTCAGTGATTCTTGAGTCTCTCTTTCATACTCTTGATGAGAAGCATCTGTGTTTCTTTTCCGATGTGTATCTGCATTTAAGAACTTTTTGATGGCCTCTTGACTTTGTCCTGGCCCACGTACAGTCATTGTTTCTGATGTCAGAGTAA